ATATATATATATATATATATATATGTTCACAGAATTTCAAGGCAAACTCATGTGTTGTCTGCTTAGAAACAATGTCTGCCATGAAAGTTTTAAATACAAGTCACCACTACAGCACTATGCACAAAGCTAAATATGAGAAGTTTACTCAAGTTGCAAATACATAAACAGTATGTAAACAACACGACTATTTACCAGAATCATCATCACACAGGAGTCACAGAAAGGTGAAGACGCAAAGAGTAGGTCAGAAAGGTGAAAGGCTTCAAATATCTGGGGTCAACCATCCAGAGCAACGGACAGTGCAGAAAAGAGGTGAAGAAGAGGATGTAGGCAGGATGGAGTTGGTGGAGACGAGTGTCAGGGCTGTTGTGTGACAGAAGGATAGCAACAAGAGTGAAAGGGAAGGTTTACAAGYCCGCAGTGAGACCTGCTATGATGTATCGATGATAAGACAGGAGGCTGAYCTGGAGGTGGCAGAGATGAAGATGCTGAGATTTTCGTTGGGTGTGACAAGGATGGACAAGATTAGAAATGAGAAGATCAGAGGGACAGAGAAAGGGGAGCAGTTGCAAGAGAAGCCAGGTTGAGATGGTTTGGACATGTGTTGAGGAGGGATTGTAGACATACTGGACAAAGGATGTTGGAGATGGAGCTGCCAGGCACAAGGAGAAGAGGAAGACCGCAGAGAAGATTCTGGTTGGTGTAACAGTAGAGGAAGCAGGGGATAGGATGAGATGGAGGCAGATGATCCACTGTGGTGACCCCTAAAGCGAGCAGCCGAAAGACAAATGAAGAAGATAATCACACAGGAGTCCGCATTTAAGGCATCTTATATTTTCTTAGGCTCGTTCTAGTTCTTACCTGAGCCCATGGGATCTCTAAAGTTTCTCATGTTCCATTTCCCTGATGTTTCCATCATTAGGAATGTCCATCAATCACAACAGCTGTCCTCTGCTGCTCAGGGATCACAATGTCCGGCTGTTGGCCACTACCCTCTTGTCTGTTTGATTCTGGAAGTCACAGGATCTTAGCTCAGTCATTCTCCACCACCCTGGGAAGTGAGTTCCACTTTGATTGAGGGGGTCTTCAGTAAAAACCAGCCCCATGTCCTACGCTTTGCTTCATACAGAGGGTCTGGACTCTCGGCTATTGAGAAGTGATTGCTTGCTGGAGGCGTGGACTCGAAGTTTCGAACGATTAGATCTGATCATACCCAATCGCTAACGTTTGGCTGTGATGTGTGTAGTGCGCCAGCTCGACTGTGAAGGAAGCTAAGCTAACCAGAAATTGCGGGCAACTGTAAAAAACCATCTTTTACTGGTAAGAGAGAAGTATTGAGCTGAACGAGGTGGCTGTAAATGACAGCTGCAGGCTTTGTGAGACAAAATTAATTCGGAAGCTTTGTCAACATTGACTGAATGTTTTTGTTCACTTCCTTAGCCATTGCTAAACTACAGGCAGACTAAAACAGCGCAGAAAATCCACATCATCGTTCACAACTCCTCCTTCTSTTCACCCATTGAAATTCTACAGGAGAAACCCAGGTCAACAGTAGAAAGTCCAGGCAGAGCAGTGAGGGGAGATTAGAATCAAGCAGAACTGCATAGAAAAGCAAGGGCCAGGCTAGGCAGAGGCAAATCAATAAGAAATTTTTATTTTACACTGATGAGTGACAATCATGATTATCATTAACATGAGCCGTGCTGTTTTATAAACCTAACCAAGTAGTTACTAATGTCTAAAACTAATTGTGCATTTTAATAAGTACACCATGCTACTTTGTCATCAGTGAAARAATGAAATCAGACGGCAACATCAGGTAAAATGCAAAAATGTAATTTTAAACTAAACTTACAGTATTTATACTCTTAGATGGGACTTCTCCAACAATTATTTCTGGTTGGTTAAAATGACTTGCATGATTCATTCTGATCCGTGTCTTTAACAGGTAAATAAAACCCTCCATTTGACCAATTTCTCGTCTGATTAAGGTATAATACGTTTTGCTTCATCAAGCTCCACGGCAGCATCAGCTCTTGTGCTGAAATCACCGCTTCCCTATCTCCGTGCAGCACTGTGTGACACAGTTTTAATGATCAGCCATCCAACATTTGTTTACAGCTTTGCTTCCAAGTCATGTTCTGTTAATACTCACTCCTTTTAATATTTATCGTCGGTCTTAATTGGTTTGATGTCGCTACACTGGCGCGGCTGTCGGCTTGCTTGTTGAACTGGCCTCACCGTTGTTTCAAAGTCTTTATTATCTTGACATTCAAGTCCTGTTCATTAAATTTTCACTTTCCATTTTCATCAGAATGAAGCGGATTCTGTAAATCCAAGGGAACCGCGGACGACTCAAGCCCTGCGAGCAATCACGGGGGAGGCACATGGTCTGTATAAATTATCAGGAATATGAGCTCGATCGAAGATGTTAATTGCTCATATGGTTAGTTATGTGCAGAATTGCCATGCATTTCATGCAGCGATAATAAAAATGAATTTTTGAACAAAGGCATCTTAAAATAATATCTAGTCTGCAGAGAATACCCACATCAAAAGAATAATTCAAAGCTTTGAAATTTATCTTTGTGGTCCGAAATATTAAGCATTGGCTCTGTGAATATTGTACTCTATTTAAGTTTGTCAAAGCGAAAAAAACAAAACTAGAGTTAATTAACAGTTATTACAGGCCTTTTCAACCCAAATTTGACTTTCAAATATTAGCTCTTATATATAAACTATGCTTCGGGCATCTGCATATTAGCTTAGTGTATCTTCTCTAATTAGGTCTCGTTGAACCCATGGCTACATTCACACAATAATATGAATAATTTAGCACTATAAGATGTATTTAACTGTAGTCATTAGTTGGCATTTTATTCACACTGTAATAATTTGATAGAGATCGCCTTTGAAATTTAGTAACACACTAATCATGGGTCAGATCTTAACTCAGTGATGAGGTGATCATAAATAATTAAATAAAAATAAAAATAAATTTTCATTGGTATTTCAGCCTTTTATATTATGTTTAAATCATATGAGGGTTGATCATTGTCTCATTTGCTGACTGACAGAAAACAAATATTTATTTGRAATATTTTATATAACCTCGGTGACTGCTGCAGATAGGCAGATCCTCACAGCTGGGAAAGGAAAAGTGGGTAAAGGCAATGAGTTGATGGATGTTTTATATAAT